CGAGTTACCACGCGTAGAATTACCACGCGTAGAATTACCAAGCGTCGAGTTACCATGCGTCGAATTACCACGCGTAGAATTATCAAGCATTGAATTACCGCGGATCGAATTACCACGCGTCGAACTACCACGCGTCGAGTTACCACGTGTCGAATTACCACGTGTCGAATTACCACGCGTAGAATTACCAAGCCTATTTTCGCAAAAATGAAAAATTGCAAACTTCGAAGGCTTGTTATTTTTTAACAAATTTGAAACTGGCAAAATGATGACTTAAACTCCTCCTAATGTCACATGGACTACAGCTTATTTTGATTAGAGCAAAATCGCAGATAGTTATCTGGCAATCCCGTTATCGATCGCAATTTAAAATTTCCCAATCAAATTCAATTTCTAGCTTGTTATCAAGACGAACGCTATCTCGCATCGTCTGTTCACGGATGACATATTCTCTTATTCACCAAATTGGATCTCTTAGTTTTATTTCCAGCAGCCATTCTTTTTACGTCGCTAACGATACTTTTCAAAATTTATCGCTCCTCGAAACCGCAGACGCTCGGTGCTCAAATTCTCTTCTGTTTTATCAGACATACGATATTCTCTTTGACAGAGAATAAATTTTGTTTGACTATACGTCGAGCTTATCAGGGCTCCATAAAAGACTCATTTTTTCCCTAAGCGCAGTAAATGATTTAGTAGCTGTTTGCATAATACACGAGTACATTAAACAGACGATAAGAATACTTTCTTTCAATCAATTCTTCGTTGCAATTCATTAAGACTTTCTTGAAATTTAATTATGACGATGGTTTGTAGGTTATGTTGAAATTTAGTTATGGCGATGGTTTATGGGTTATGTTGAAGTTTAATTATGGCGATGGTTTATTGGTTATGTATTTTAATTTCAATTGAAACTTTTCAATTTGGACAAAACATGGTGTGTATTTTAATAACATATGATATATAACACATATGAGTTGAAATAAAATTATATATCATATAATATATCATATAATATATCATATAATATATAATTTTATTACATAAGTTGTATAGTACATTATAATATATATTTTATCATATGTGTTGAACAATATAATGCCACATATGTTTTATCATATGAGTTGTTCAACACATATATAATATATTTTATCATACGTGTTGAACAATATAATATCACATATGTTTCATCACATGTGTCACATAATATAATATATATTTTATCATATGAGTTAAACAATATAACATATGTTATCACACATGAGTTGAATAATATTACATACTACATACTCAATTATGTAAATTTAAAAATATGTAACATTCTCACATAAATTTAACATTGAATCAAAAAATATAACATATGTAACATATGTATATTAACATATACAATGTATATGCATATGTAACATATGTAATTTTTTAAACAAAATTAAAAAATGTAACTCAATATTTATTTTACCAAACTAATTAAATAATACAATATTTTATAATACAACTATAACAAAATATTATACCAAAATACATTTTATTGTCCCAGTACCGAAATATCGAAGCTCACAAAATCGACAACGACCGAACACCAGACAACAGAAGACAATTTAAGATGGCGACGTAAAGTATCTTTAAATATTGAACGTCAGTATCTTTGCGTCTTTTGTAGGATATCTACAAAGTTTATTACGAACGGTAATCCTTTTTCCCTTTCACGACACAAAGTTCACCTAACGGAGAACGATGGCGACGTTTAAGCCGGCAAAGCGCCGTATCACACAATGGTTTTAAGCGGAAAATTAGCTTTCTTAACGATTCTCAGTTTAACAAAGCTGCCGGCGTACGCGTGTGGCCGTATAAAGTTCCAACGATGAAATAATTACGATGAAGCGTTTCGGAAACTCGCTTATCCGCCGAGCGGACCGTGCAATAATTGTTGAGCAGCCGATGATTTGGGGAGAAAAGTTCGGTAGAGAAAATCAGGGTGAATATAGAGGACGATATTTGGGGGGTTGAGAATTTGGAGGGTTGAGAGTTTCGGGGGTTGAGAATTTGGAGGGTTGAGAGTTTGGGTGGTTGAGAATTTGGGAGCTTGAGAATTTGACGAGTTCAGGGGTTGAGAGCTTGAGAATTTAACGAGTTGAGGGGTTGAGAGGTTGAGAATTTTGGGGTTTGGGAATTTGGAAGCTTGAGAATTTGGGAGCTTGAGAATTTGGGAGCTTGAGTATTTGGGAGCTTGAGAATTTGGGGGCTTGAGTATTTGGGAGCTTGAGAATTTGGGAGCTTGAGTAACTGGGAGCTTGAGAATTTAACGAGTTGAGGGGTTGAGAGGTTGAGAATTTTGGGGTTTGGGAATTTGGAAGCTTGAGAATTTGGGAGCTTGGGAATTTGGAGGGTTGAGAGTTTGGGGGGTTGAGAATTTGGGAGCTTGAGAATTTGACGAGTTCAGGGGTTGAGAGCTTGAGTATTTGGGAGCTTGAGAATTTGGGAGCTTGAGTAACTGGGAGCTTGAGAATTTAACGAGTTGAGGGGTTGAGGGGTTGAGAATTTTTGGGGTTTGGGAATTTGGAAGCTTGAGAATTTGGGAACTTGAGAATTTGGAAGCTTGAGAAATTGGAGGGTTGAGTTATTAGAAATTTGAGAAATTGGGAGCTTGAGAATTTGGGAGCTTGAGTATTTGGGAGCTTGAGAATTTGGGAGCTTGAGTAATTGGGAGCTTGAGAATTTAACGAGTTGAGGGGTTGAGGGGTTGAGAATTTTTGGGGTTTGGGAATTTGGAAGCTTGAGAATTTGGGAACTTGAGAATTTGGAAGCTTGAGAAATTGGAGGGTTGAGTTATTAGAAATTTGAGAAATTGGGAGCTTGAGAATTTGGGAGCTTGAGTATTTGGGAGCTTGAGAATTTAACGAGTTGAGGGGTTGGGGGTTGAAAATTTTGGGGTTTGGGAATTTGGAAGCTTGAGAATTTGGAAGCTTGAGAATTTAGGAGCTTGAGTATTTGGGAGCTTGAGAATTTGGAGGATTGAGTTATTAGAAATTTGAGAAATTGGAAGCTTGGGAATTTGAAAGTTTGAGAATTTGGGAGCTTGAGAAATTGGGGGTTTGAGAATTTGGGGGGTTGAGTTATTAGAAATTTGAGAATTTAGGGGATTGAGTATTTGGAAGTTTGAGAATTTGAGAGGTTGAATTATTAGAAATTTGAGAATTTAGGGGATTGAGTATTTGCAAGTTTGAGAATTTGAGAGGTTGAATTATTAGAAATTTGAGAAATTGGGGGCTTGAGTATTTGGGAGCTTGACAATTTAGGGGGCTAAGTTAATAGAATCTTGAGAATTTGGAGATTTCAGTATTTGATATTTTAAGAATTCTGAAAAGTTGAGTATTTGAAAATTTGAAAAATTGGGGGTTTGAACAGTTATTAGAAATTTGAGAACGTCGGGATTTACATATTTGAAAATTTTGAAATATAGTGTTTATTTAAAAATTAACCATATTATAATAAAAATATATTAAGAACCATTAAAAATGTATTACATATTTTACTAACAGAAATACCTGCTCATTTTATTCTCATATTATTATTACAACATTCTATCAACGTTCGTGAAGTAAAAACTTCCGCACAGCCTTCAATTTAACAATTTGTAAATCCAACAATTTATAATAGCAAAATTTTCGTATCAAAACCATCGCGCGATAATAATTCGTATAAAGGTCTCTGAGGGAAGGAGAAAGATAAAGCATCCTTTGACGAAAGCTAAAATCCATAATCCTGAATTTACATATTCATGCAATTTGCTTAAATTGATACGATTCGATACAATTTTATCGAAAATATACTAAAGTGCTTATCTCTCTCCTGTTTTAATTAGTTGATTTTTTATTTTGTGCAAAAAGTACAAATTTTTTTATTCTTATTGTGGTAAGTCTCCAAATTTTTATATTGTCAAATTTTTGTTTATTTTCTTTTTCTTCAAGATTTTATAATATTATTTTTTCTTCAATTTTTTTATTATTAAATTTTCAAGTTTTTACATTGTTAAATTTTTTGAATTTTTTTATTGTTAAATCTTCAAATTTTTATAATATTAATATTAGTAGTGATATTGATATTATTTCTGTACCACCAAATTTTATCATTTTTGTAATATTAAATTTAAACATTTTTTAAGTTAGAAATCTGCAATTTATAAATTCATAAAATTAAAAATTTTAAAACAAAAATTTAGTGGCTGAAAAATTAAAAAATTCAAATTCATCCATGTTTAAAATCGTCCATTTTTAATTTTCCAATTGTAAAATATACATACTTAAAAGTCTAAAAATTAATAAATTTAAAAACTTGAATGTTTAAAAAGATACTCAAAAATTTTCAAAATGAGAGTCCAATAAATCCAATTAATTCCACACAGTCTGCAATAAAATTTAACACGTGTGCATACATACACGCAACCCTAAATCACTGATAACTTTACACATTTGATTAAAATGACACGCTTATGAAAATCTCCCTCCATCCACTTTCATCATCCTCATAAAAATGACCCACGAAAACGATACTCGAATACCCGAGACTATTCGGGCAAACTCGATCAAGATTATTCAAATTGCATGAGCATGTAAAGCCCGGAATCTCCGATTAAATGGTCCACGATATTTCAGACGATATCCCGGGGCAAAAAAGGGTAGGCTGATGCATTGATTGACCTTGCTCCCAGTAGCCTTTTCCGCGAACTCTGGCACGATTCTCCAGGACTTAGCGACACGTCCGCAAATCCAGAAATAAGGACAGCCCCGATATCTGGCTCCACTCCAAAGTCCTTTTATCACAGATCGTAATGCAGGTACAAACGACGACGAAGAGCCATAAACCGCGTTCCAGCTGTCTTACCTAACACCCAGTCGGTTTGTTGGTCAGGTGCTCTTTGATTTCCTCCAAGATATCGACGATCCTGTATCTGTACGCCTCCCTGCTGCGACACTGGTTTACGACCAGTTCCGATCGTTGTTCTCCATAAACCACGTGCTCCAGAAGATCCGTCGAGTTAACGAAATACTTCTCGACAGCTTGTTTCGTCAGCAGCATCACCTGAACGTTCGCTATCGAATACGTCAGCGACACGTCCTTCAGCTCCTTGCAGCACTCGATGAACTCCTCTCTCGACAAACACCGCTCCACATCGAGTCCCTCGGACGCCAGCTCCCGTTTCATGGTGTCGCAATAAACGTTCACCAGCTGGTCCCAGCACTCTCTTCTAGCCTTCCTATCGGTGTTCAAATAAAGAAACACCGTGAAGTCCAACGCAGGGGGACTGTACCTCAAGAACTGGAAGTCCACCAGGTAGCACCCGACCGGCTTGCCGTTTGCGTCTCGTTTGAACATGATATTATTCGCCCAGATGTCCCGGTGGCAGACGACGTTCCTGAACTTGATGGAGGGTTGCAACAACCTAGGTAGACTAGGGATGCTACTGGAGATCCAGTTCTTCATCAGAGTCCTCTCCTGGTCCGTGAATCGCTCCGCGAAGTCCACCATGGTGCAGGCTCCTTTGACACACGAGGCGAGGTACTTGCGAGCGGGCAGCTCCTCCTCGACGAAGGCCACCTCCTCGAGCCAGTTGCCGTAGAGGTCCATGATCGACTGCCCCTTGCTGCGAAGCTTCTCGTCCTGTATGAGGAACCTGGAGTGGAACCTCGACAGCGTCGCCACCGTGTAGACGCAGTGGTCGAGGTCGAAGAGGAGGAACTTGTCGGGGGTCACGTAGCCCTCTTGCTTCGCGTCCTCCAGCACGAGGATGGTGTTGCTCTTGCCCAGGAAGTAGTCGGGCGCCCACTTGGGTCCCGTTCCCATTCCAATGCGGGGCACGATGTCGCTGTACACGGCGATCTCCTTGTCGAACGTGTTGGAGTTCACCAGGAAGTCGTACTGGGGGCTCTCGGCGGGTGGCGG